TTTTTTTTATTATTATTATTATTATTTTTATTATTATTATTATTATTATTATTATTATTATTATTATTATTATTATTATTATTATTATTATTATTGTTGTATCATGAAGAATCTTCCTCACTCTGCTCTAACTGGTAACTTGTTTTCCCTCGCTAGCTACGGTACCTTAAGTTAACTACAGTAATGAATGTATTATGTAATCTAAGACAAAGATACATCACTGCAATAACTTTATGAGGGAGTATATAAAACATAACCACTGTGTATTGTATGTACTTGTGATATAGAATTGGTTAGGTTAGGTTAGGGGCCACACTGACCTGGGGAAACACCAGGTCAGGGAGGAAATAACTGTTCCAGGCGGAAATATGTCCAGGTGGAAAGGAGTCTCCGTTCTGACCTGCAAGGCTTCAGTAGGTCACGGTCTGTCTGGCTGGCTGTCTGGCTGAATGATAGTTGTCTGTCTGTGTTTGATTGGCTGTCTTAATGCCTGGAGAGGTGGTTGATTGTTTGGTACACACTGTACTCGACTGCCTTCACTTACCTAACTGTAATTTTAGGTACCCATTTAGTTGGGTGAATTCGGTGTGCCCCAGGAACGACCCTTTTGGGTGGAGGTGGGCACTGTATCCACTGGTTCAGGGCAGCAGGTGTTGCGAAAGAATGTTCCTCAGTACAAACACCACCATAAAAATGGACCAATAAGTCAAATATTATAGTTATAAAAATAACTCTGTCAGTGACGGGTAAAACATTAGCAGGGAAAATTGTTGTGTAAAAATAGTCAAGTAAAGTATTTTACTGACTTTATAGAAGTTATACACAATACAAGGTGAGATGAAACAATGATAACACAGGTGTGTACAGGGGCAGGTGAAAGGAGGGAGGTGGATGTTTCAGAAAATTTAATAAAATCATAAGTCCCAGGTAATGGAAACAAATATTTCCGTTCGCTGAGCAACGATCGCCTGGTCACACAGGTATGGGGGGGGTAGTGGTGGTGTAGGGGTGGTGATGCTGGAAAGGGAGCCACTACTATCTCCCTCCTCCTCACCACCATCATCATCCATCCCTCACCACCACCATCATCCATCCCTCACCACCATCACCTCACCCCGAAACAAACTACAGGAGGTCAGTATGAACTCTCCTGATGACTGAGGTAAGGCTGGGTGAGGTGTCGACCTGGGGGACCGTCGGCAGATCATACATAACCTTATAAGACATGACGATTTCCTTTTGAATTTCACTGTTTATTAAAGTGTATTTATTACATATACCGCCCACTCACTTTTACACCGCCCACTCTCTTCTACACCGCCCACTCTCTTTTACACCGCCCACTCACTTCTACACCGCCCACTCACTTTTACACCGCCCACTCTCTTCTACACCGCCACTCTCTTCTACACCGCCCTCTCTTCACCGCCAACTCCACCGCCCACTCTTCACCGCCCACTCTCTTCTACACCGCCAACTCTTCTACACCGCCCTCTCCTCTACACCGCCCACTCTCTTCATCTCTTCTACACCGCCCACTCTCTTCTACACCGCCCACTCTCTTCTACACCGCCCACTTTCTACACCGCCAACTCTTCTACACCGTCCACTCTCTTTACACCGCCCACTCCTTCTACACCACCCACTCTCTTCTACCGCCCACTCTCTTCACCGCCCACTCTTCTCCACCGCCCACTCTCTTCTACACCGCCCACTCTCTTCTACACCGCCAACTCTTCTACATCGCCCACTCTCTTCTACACTCTTCTCCACTCTCTTCACCGCCCACTCACTTCCACATCGCCTACTCTCCTATTCCGCCCACTCTTCTACACCGCCACACTCACTTCACACATCGCCCACTCTCCTACCGCCCCTCTCTTCTACACCGCCCACACCTCTGTTAATAGTCATTCCAGGCGAGCCTTTATATAATGTGGTATTCCAGCGTGGTCGCCGCTTTATTTTCCTATTTTTCGCTCACTGAGTTTACGCCCACGTCTCCCCTGGATGCTACGCCCCCACGCCCACGTCTCCCCAGGCTGCTACATGCCCCACGCCTTCCCTGCCTTCACGCCCCCACGCCTCCCCTGGCTGCTACACGCCCCCACGCGCCCCCTGGCTGCTACACGCCCCCACGCCCACGTCTCCCTTGGCTTCTACACGCCCCCACGCCCACGTCTACCATATGTGACATACACCCACATACGTCCTAGGGGCTATTTTACCGAGGCATACACCACGTTCTCAAACCACCATACTTAACATTGCAATTACTCCCCTTATCTGTTCCCTCCCCACGCCCACAACGCTAAACCATCCTTCCTTCCCATCACCACATCCCACGCCATCATCAACGCTGTCAATACTAGTATACCCTACCCAGACCTTGACCCGACCCAGCAATGTCTGTAGACCGCCCGGGACCACAACACTCTTAAGACGTGTGTGTGTGTGTGTGTGTGTGTGTGTGTGCGCCTTGCAGTTCACCAGCTATATACTGTATTAATGATGATAAAAACTTAATAATAACATTGAAAAAAATTAAATTAGTAAATGGAGATTTATGAAATTTATAATAAAAATGATACGACTTATAATAATGATATTGTGTATGTTGATAACACTTAAGGATAAAAGCTATAATTGAAAAAAATATTTATAATCATATTTTATTATTATTATTAGAAAGAGATAAGTTCCCTTCCCAAACTTCTGGCTTCATTTGGACCACCACCCTCCCATTCAGTCCCCACCCTTCCCCTCCCTCATTCACCCCCATCCCCCCTCCCCCGTCCCCGGCCTGACAAACACACCGGTGCCCTCACAACAAACTCCCTCTAGTGGTGGTGTTATCAGTGTCATGGTGGATATGTACTCTTGAGTTGGATGAATTTTGTTTCCTCCCAGATTTTTAAGAAATAGTCCGTGTTGAATATTTACGAGTCTACCCGATGTTTGTCCTTTCTACTGTAGGCTCGTATATATTGGGTGATATTACAGGTTTCTAGACTTTAAGAGTAACTTAACCAAACCTTACCTATTCTATCCCTATCCCATCTAGCCCTATTTTACTCCACCCATCCCATCCAATGTCATCCCACCTAGGCCCACTTTATCCCAACCTAACCTAACCTAACCTATCCGTTCCTTTCCCCCTCTCCCACAAAGCCCCATCCATCCATCCACCTAGCCCACCCAACTTACCCACGCTCACTGCTGTAGGACATAGGAAAAACTTGAACTCTGTAATTTTGTCCAGATAGGAATTATCTTCTGAGAATATCTTCAGTATGATTGTTTGATTTTATCCATAAATGGCATATATCAGGTGTGTGTGTGTGTGTGTGTGTGTGTGTGTGTGTGTGTGTGTGTGTGTGTGTGTGTGTGTGTATGTGTGTGTGTGTGTGTTTGTTTTGTAAGTCTACGGTGTTGTCCTTCCAACTGTGTGCAGTAAAAGTACCTAATCATAACACTGCCCCTTGAGGTACTTAAATGTTTGTAAGCTGAACTGTATACCTATAAACACCTTTGCTCCCGTGTACGTGTGTGGGGGAGGCGTGTACTTGTGTTGGAGAGACGTGTACGTATGTAGGGGAAATGTGTACGTGTGTTGAGGAGATGAATACGTGTACGTGTATTGGGGAGACGTGTACGTGTGTAGAAGGCGTGTACATGTGGGGGAGAGATGTGTACGTGTGTGAGAGGAAGGGGGCGTGTGTGGGGAGGGGAGGAGGCGTGTGTGGGGAGAGGGGCGTGTGTTGGGGAGAAGGGGCGTGTGTGGAGGGAAAGGGACGTGTCAGGAGAAGGGGCGTGTGTCAGGGGGTGTGTGTGTTGAGAGGGGCGTGGGGGGCGTGTGTGGGGAGAAAGGGCGTGTGTTGGGGAGAAGGGGCGTGTGTGTGGGGACGTGTGTCGGGGAGAAGGGGCGTGTGTCAGAGGGGGCGTGTGGAGGGTGCGTGTGTGGGATAAGGGGTGTGTGTGTGTGTGTGGTCAGGATGACCAGTTCATCACATAAGGAAGCTGTTCACTAATTTCACTGATAACAGAAGAAAAAGTTTTATATTCTAAGCTGGTGAGCAGGTGCCCCCCCTCCCCCACCCCCCAGCATCAGCTGAAACAGCTGTATGCGGTTTCCTCAACTTAAAATGAGGCGTCTATTTATCTCTCGTCCTAGCTACGACACAAAAAATAGCGACAAATATTACAGCGAGACTCTACCGTTAACTAGTACACCTACTCCAGCGAAGGGTGGGCATCTTGACTCAAGTGTTACCTCACTCCTGAGTCATTAAGCTTTTTCGTGACCTACAGCTTGGCGGACCGTAACGTGTCGTAACATGTAGGGCATGAGACAAACAATGCGAGTTGACCTGATGAAATATGCTTTACCTTCCTTATCAGCGGATTTTCTTATCAGGCACGGGTTCAAATGTTCCAACACACAACACACACACACACACCCGGCTGGCGCTTGCCACCGACGGGACTTAGTCTCTCACCTCTCTAGTAAACTTGCTTGTTACAAGTTGTCCGTGTGTGTTGGTGCTGCTGTTGAACCCCAGAAACGAGAAGAATAATCCGTGATACATCTTTTATAATTGATAAGAAAGTGGAACTAATACATGTTCAGTAAATGTAAAGTTTAGTCTAAGAACATGGATGATCGACGAAGTCTGCCCTGTAGTGAGTCTTGGTTCTAACTGCAGGTCCGCTCGTGGGGTGAGCGGTGACGGAGGACCGAGCGCCATCTATTGAGCTCTCGTCGGACTGCACTCAATTTTCTTCCGTAAGGTAAGAGTTAGCTGTATCATTAGGAATGTCAAGATTGTATTATTACTCAACATGAAAATACGAGATTTCGCCATCATAAGACTTTACGAGATGCCTAGTAGCAAGTTTTACGATGCGTCGGGCCGTTCTGAATGAGCTTGTAAGCTCCTCCCACTTGATGCGCGCGCACACTGTGGAGCTTTAAATACCAACTGAGCGACGATTTCAGTCACAACTAGGCAATACGTCCAGACAACACTGAGAGAATATTTGAAGCTAAAGTCACTTAGCTTCACTGTGATTTATATTTATTTTAAAAAAGTGTATGTTGAGTGAGATTATAGAAATAAGGAAAATGAGTGCCTATGACGATATGTGCGTGACAGCCACTTACTCTGTCAGGGCGCGCGTTTGTTGCCGAATTGTTACTACCTCAACCCACAGAAACAAGTCCTTCCTTTGGAAAACAATTGGTGAGTACTGATAACAGTGTCAGGGGGGTTAAGCCAGGTGGATGACAGTGTTAATGTAGTGCGACGAGTTCTCCACGGACAGCATGATGCGTGGGAACGAGTAGTGTAGTGACCTGCCTGTGATAATGTTATTAGCTGTGCGTGTTGTGTTGTCATATGGTAGTGTCTCAGTGTATTGTGTATTACGGTTGTGGTCTTCGTAAGAGCTATTAGTGGTGTTATAGATGGAAAATGGTGTTAGTATTTGTTGTTGAGATGAGTGGAACTTGAGAAAAGTCAAGAAAACTTTTGTGACTTTTAATCAGAAAATGGCATAGTCAGCATTGTCAGTGTTAGAAAATTCGTAATGTACGTTTTTCAGGAAACCTTTATTGATGTACGTGTGCGACACAGTTTTAAACAAGGAATTTACTTTGACCACATGAAGAATTGCTGAGGAAACGTTTGTGGATTGTGAGTAGTTCCATGGTCACTTGTTAGACATTAGTAAATAAGGAACGTTTGTTGCGAACAATGCCAGTGTTAAATGAAAACAAGTAAAAATAATTATTATAGAAAGTGATTAAACAGACGAAATTATTAGAAAACATTAATGTGCGCGTGCAGTCATCTGATGACAAACGAAGAGCAACGTTTGAAGTAGCAGACAGTGATATGCAAATGTTTGATGTAGGTCACCTTGAGGATACATTGGTTAAAAGTTAACAATGTGGGAGTGAGAATATAAGATGAACATTTTTAGGATGTTGACACTGAGACTGATAGTGTCGCACCAACGTTTTCAGGTGGTTGACATTGGAACAAGAAACTATCAGTCAGTTATCACGGTTGGGGTTGGAGGTGCTGAAGAAACGTTTGCGAGTGTTGATATAAAGTGGGATAAAGATATACGTGGGAAGATTTGCAGGTTAATGTTCTAAAGGTCAAGAAAACATTTTATATATGTTTAACACAGATTAAGGTGAAGGGAAGCAGAAACGTTTGTAGTGGTGTTAAGTGTTTGAGAATGACGATAAACACATACACAGGTGGATGAGGAAGAATGGGGTGAAATTATTGGTATGTGGGTTTATGACAGTGGCGACGAAACGTTCACAGGTGGTTGACACAGATGGTGTTGAATGCGCTGAGGAAACGTTTGAGAGGCTGTACAGGACGGCAGCTCACACACACACACACATACACACACACACAACTGGGAGACGGCAGCACCTCGCAGGCCGATGTCGTCATTCCCTGATAAGAAACACAGCCAACACACCAACTTGTTCTGTTATATATTTTCTATATAACAACCACTTCATAACAAGCCAAGAACGTTCACTTCTGTAGGTTCCTATAATGTTTATCTTGATTGTAATTTTAAATAATATATATTTTGTATGTGCACTTATTTAAAAGAAAACGTTTGTTATTGTTTTTATAGCGTTAATTTAGCTTATTGGACGTGTCCTTCTACTCTGCTTCAGTAACAAGAGACTTGGCAGTGAACGTGACACTGAATTATATCGCCACAAAAACCGTGTCGTGGATGCCACTACCTCGTGTTTTTCTAATTGTCGCAATCAACTTAGAAGTGGTGGAATATGAACGGATTGTCGTGTGTGTGTGTGTGTGTGTGTGTGTGTGTGTGTGTGTGTGTGTGTGTGTGTGTGCGTGTGTGTGTGTGTATTTGCTGGTCATAAGCTTCCGTCACCGAGCCATCATCACTACCACTATCTTACCACCACCTCCTCACCCTCGGTGTTATGTAAAACAGTGCCAATATCACATTTCCTTATCTCTCTTCCCCAAGTCTCTCTGAATCTTGTCGTGGTACAGAAAAAATAAATGGCGGGAAGAATCAAACACGTGCGCCTAACCTGTCAGCTGTTGTGCGCGTGGTGGCAGACACTCCCCCGTTAAACATGACTGTAAACACAATGACCACACACACTAAGGTGGTCAGCAGAAGCCTGGACAATCGTGATAATTTTTTAAGGCTGCACAGATCTTGCCATTCATCAATACTTGAGAGAATCTGTTTTTGTGCTTGCGAATGAGTGTTGTGCTCATACATCGTCGCTCTTGTGGGTGGTGATGATTATGGATAGTCATACGAGTGAATATTAACATGACGGGCAGTAGATGATACAATTACAATGGCGAGTGGAGCACGCAAGTGTTCCAGCAGATGTTGGCGTACCTGACCGCCCGATGTCATTAGCCTCCGGGTCGTAAGATGAAAACAGCGAGAGACAGAGAATAAAAAATGTGAAAAAACATTGATATAACACAGATCGGCAAGCGTCTCTACACTAGAGTTCAGAGCTGGGCAACACATCACCCGTCGCAGTGACTGTCGACTCCCCGAGACGTTTTTGGGCGTCTGAAAGTCATAACGGACACGAGGTTGGGCAGTACCGGTTTTGTTGCACTTGCGAGAGGAGCAGCAGCGTCAGGAGAAACAGGTGATGCTCAACACTAAACGTTACCCTCGTACTTTATACCTCCTTCTCCCTCAATGGAGTACCGTTTCCTTCTTCGCTCCTCCGCTACCCCGAGCACTCCTAACCCTCCTCTTAGACCATGAGATAATAAATGATATCAACCTGCGTCAAAATTCTTGATTGGCAATGGCCAGCGCCGTGATTATGTACACTGGACGAGGTTTTTTGCCCCACGCTCTGTTGTATCGTCCTCGCCCATATATTTAACATTTTTACCCAAGGTGACCTGTTGTCCGTGTTTTGCATGGTCAGTTGGCCACAGGCGGGGAGCACATGCTGCCGCTCTTCGAAACTCCTCTGATATTTTTTCTCTCTTTTTTATACGTTAACTTAATCACCTTTCACTCTGTTTACGTTAGGAGTTATAAAGCGTATATCCTGCAGTGTGCTGCAATATTTTTAGCGTAATCAGTACAAATACGTCGAGTTAATTACGCTTGGGATCTCATTACTGCGAATGATCACAGGTGAAATTATGCCAACAGGTATCAAAACTTTTATTATCTGGAAATGTGGTCGTTAAAACCAGCCAATTTCCTCTCACGGGTAATAATTCAATATCTGAACCGTCAATTTGAGCCGTCCATCGCCCTATTGTTGTGCACCGCCACCCACCCTTGTGAAAACTCTGGGATTCGTGTCGGAAATGCACAAGCGACACCGAGATAGTTGAAGGAGATGATTTAAGCCAGACGAGACTAGGAAACAGGGGTGGCGTCTGTGTGTGTGAGCCAGGGGGGGAGGGGGGTGGACTGAGTGTTCTAGACAGGGGTTAACGCGGTTGATTGTGTGTGTATTGTATTAATAGTGTTGCAGCGCGTCAAGTCCTGCTGGTATGGGAGAAAGTCCTCTTCACTAGCATTTCCTGTGGGTGATTACAGTCCCAGCACCCTGATGGATCTATCATTGTAGGTCCGAGTTACGGTGAGGAAAAAAAAAGCGATAGCGCCAGTGCAAACATTCTTGTACAGGAAATTAGATAATGTTCTGTCGGTTTCAGGTGTTAATGTAAAAATTCCACAATTTATTAAAAAAAAAAAAAAAAACATTACACACACACATTCAGTATAATTATGTGTATTACACTTACAAGAGACTTTTCAGACAACGTCTCTAGAGAGAGTGAGAGTGACGAAAAGCTGGTCTTGGATAGGGCGTGGGCAAGGCAAAAGGGCCAAGGACATTTATGGCATTGCCGGTCATATAAGGCGGAACGTAGCCAACCAGTCAACTGTAGAGCAATACGGATACTTCTGCCTACACCTTCCTATGTTTTACTCTCTTTCTCTGACTCACTCACTACATTGTACTCCTCTCTCACCCTCCCTTACGCACCCCCCCCTTCCCCAGCCCTGTCGTCTGTTTGAGAGAAGAACACATTTAGAACGACGTGGAGTAAATTTGAGGAGACTAGTCCCATGACACTAACAGGAGCCCCCAAGACACTAACAGGAGCCCCAAGACACTAACAGAAGCCCAGGACACTAACAGGAGCCCAGGACACTAACAGGAGCCCAGGATACTAACAGGAGCCTAAGACACTAATAGGAGCCCCAAGACACTAACAGAAGCCCCAAGACACTAACAGGAGCCCCAAGACACTAATAGGAGCCCCGAAGACACTAAACAGGTGCCCCAATATACTAACAAGAGCCCCAAGATGGTAGTGAGGAAGGAACACAGGCCAGGAGGTCACCATCGAGGAGCAGAAAGTGTGACGGCGGCTTGTGTGTCCACACCCCCAGATAACTTACAACTACTCGTGGTTGACTCATGTTTGTTGCTGTGTCGCCGTACCCTTGCGCCCTCTCCCCTCCCCTTCCCTCACCACCCATCCCATCATCCCCTCCCTTCCCCCTCCTCCTCCGTCAGGTGGAGGAGGAGGGGGGGAGGAATTAGTGTTGTTGTTATTGCGCCTCTGTGCGTTTAAGTGCTACACTGCCCGATGGCGTTGGTGTTATTTTTTTTTTAATATATTGTTCTGTAAGTTGATGTCTGTTTCGTATATGTAGAGTGTAGTTCGTCTTGTCTCGTAGTATCTCTGTGAAGATAAATGAAATCAACACGGAAAAGAGGCCGTGAGCCTATGGTTGATGTGGCCTCAAGTGTGACCGTATTGTTGTTATTTTTGTTGTTGATGATGATAATGAAAGTGTGTGTGTGTATGTGTGTGTGTGTGTGTGTGTGTGTGTCATAGTGGTGGCGGTTCTAGAGTCGGGACGATACTTCCCAGAAACAGTGAATCACACAACCCAGCCGCCGCCTCCTCCACCGCCACGCACGCTACCTTACACACAGACACACCCACACACTTATACACACACACACACACACACACACTGACCTCACACGCGCTCAGACTGGCCCAGGCAGCAGTCCAGCTTACAGTTGCTCCAGACTCATACGTGAATTCGACACCGTCCGGATTCGACATGAAGATTGTACAAATATTCATCCAGTGAACCCTGTCGTAGTAGTAAAGATTAAGGAACGTGATTGATTGATTCGGAAGATAAATAGTTGATGAGGATCACTGTGGTAGCGCTTAAAACACTTCCTGTAATACCTGTGGGAAAGTAGAGGTTTTGTGCCGCTAACCTAGACACGGTACGGAAGAGAACTTTTTTGTGGTGTTCTAGTTTTGCGGTGAGTCGAGATTTTTTTTTTTTTTGAGTCGAGATAATTTTTTTTATTTATGGTATTATTATTATTGACAATCAGTTGCCTAATAGTTTATAAGTGAATAAACTATAAGAATAATTTTTAATTGGTATCAATATCTTTGTTATTAGTGTATGTTACATCAATATATAGATGTGTGTAATAATTAGTTGGCCACATAGTAGAACCTTTTGTACTAATTGAAAGTATCACTGGAATTATTACTATTTAGATGGTAGTTCTAGGTTTGAGTATTTTCCTAATATAATCGATACTGTACTAGATAGAATATAATGTATATATTTAGAGTAAGAAAGGGAGGTAGTATGTGGATGGTGACCTGGGCCGGTGAGGCGCGGGTCACTCACTCTCAGTATCCTATTGACTCCTGCCTATCAATTTCTTTTTCTTCGTTTTATTTATTCTTTCGTTTTAATATTGTTTCTTTATTTTTTATATTGCAATGTATTTTCTTCATTATCTTTTCTCCATATTTCTCTTCTTTTGTTTGTTCCCGTAAGCCTGTTCTTCAAACACCTGGTACTACGGGTAAACTGAGTGACCTGCCCCTCCCTCCCGTGGCCGACCTTTGCTAGGTAGAGATGCACTGTTAAGTGATTTTGTGAGTCTGTTACATAAATTGACGTTCATTGGCCCTTTTCTCTTCCAGATTGTGCCCGCCTGTGTTTCTTGCTACTACTAGTGATAAGCCCTGTGTCAGCGGGCCCCACCAGAAATAGAAAGGCCACTTACGTTCTAGAGGTAGCGGCGGCGGCGGCAGCAGCAGCAGCGGCGGCAGCAGAAACAGCTGAGAGCACATTAGAGTGGGAGATCACTCAGCAGCTGCAAGAGGCCCTGGAAAGGTCCCATCGAGTGCATTACCACAATCGCCTGAGTAGTAGCAGTAGTAGCGGGAGCGGCAGGTACACTATGGACAATCCTGACGATGTGGGTAACAGCAGGAGCCGGCGGGGCACTTCCCACCACTGGTCACAACCATGCGACAAGATCGCGCATGACGAAACCAACACCGTGGAGTCCCTCAGCACAAACATCCTGACGCCCGTCTCCATAGCCAACAGCTATATGCAGGATGTAAAAGTTAACTATGTAAGTACAGTTGCTGCCACTACCCCGCCCGGCTCGGCTCTCACTCACCCACTTTGCCTTCATTTAATTATAATATAATGGTTATTACAAAAGAGCCCAGCCGGAGCAGTGTTTACATATTGATTTTGTTATTATGATCATACTATAGAAAGTACCAAGGAGAACATTTTAAGCATAAAGTATAGTAGAAGGCGACATAACAGGTTTTAATTGAGACAGGTGGTGGAGGTATAGGACAAGTGCACACTATACCTCCATTGGTACACCTGTGTCGTTCACACGTTGTCCTTAACAACCACCCCTGCACTTGCCCCTGTGTACAGAACATCAACTACCACATCGACACTTGTCTGACAGTACTCACGCCCATATTTACACCTGTCCGACAATAATCATGCGTACACTTGTCGGACAACACCTACTTCCTCAACACCAGATAGGCGTGTTAACCTTTAGCCTCTGTGTCCTCCCTGTGATAGCGCCCTTGGGTAGTGGGCATCGGGGTGTCGTCGCGCTGAGATCATGTCTAATAATTCTGTAACTCGATAAGATAAGAAATAGCGCGTTCCCTACATACCTGCCTCATACACCTCCCACTCCTCTCTCGCGGAATTAGATTGACGTAGATCCGGGTCATTATGGCAGGTCCTCCCGGCCACCACACACATACTGTACATCATCTACTTTCCTGTTTTCCGCCATGATAAAATAATGGTTAGTATTGATGCCTAAAAGTATACAGAGGCCGAAAGCGAGTAATACCTTTTCCCCTTTGAGGTTAAACATCACATTGCGTCATGTTGATAAATCCAGGTGAGGAGGCAGTAAGCCGTGGACCAGCCGAGGACTGCCATGTCTGTCTGTGTGTCTACACCATTGTCCCTGAAAGAGGTTAAAGGGACGGAGGGGGGTATATGGTACACTCTCAGATAATACTGTACACAAACACAATTACATATTCACGCTACTGTACACACACGCTGACCTCTACACTGTAACGCGCTATTCATATTCATCGACTGATTTACACACACACACACACACACAAATCACGTTCTTTATTGACCCGTCTCATCTGGGCTTTTTGTGCCTTGTAGTTGGGATGTGCATAGCATAGAGCCCTGAGGGAAGGGCACCTTTGCCAACCTAATTTCCTTGTTTTCTGAAGTCTGTTCAGAAGTCCCTTCACTGAGATGAATCTCTCTCTCTCTCTCTCTCTCTCTCTCTCTCCCTGGCCAGACACGTGTTCCTGTTGTCCAAACCACATACTGTACTCCGGCAAAGTAGACACGTCTGGCGTAACTTCGTTCATGTCTTAAGTTGATGACCAACCACATTAGTTTTTTTTTTCGGGTGTATATAAATAACCGTAAATTGTTTCATATGATGTATCAAAATGACCACAAATTGTTTCTTAACTTGCATATAAATTTTCATAACTGGGCGGACATCAGGTACGAGGATGAGAGAGAGAGCAAGTTCTCTGGCCTCTGGCTGGTCTTCCTGCCTCACCGTCGCTGGTTTACGTCATCAGTTGCATCATTATTACGTCATTACCTGGCGGACCAATCACGAGTAGGGGTCACAGGAGTGGGCGGTGTTCGTCATGTGTGAGACTCGGAGGAATTTCAGCCATATTATGATGTCATCGTCTGTCAATGTTTTGGTTGTTCATAGAGGCATTGTTCTAAACCGAGCGATGATTAAGATCCAGAATTATAATTATTATTATTATTATTTTTTTTTTTTGAGGCAGCGAGGCGGTGTCCTTGATAAAGGTTGGGGAGGCAGCGGGAACATAGAGAGTCCATCATTATTACCGTAAATAATGCGTTATCGTGTATACTGTAGGCATCGCCAGCTTGTTTACATAGTTGATAAGCGACATCCTCTTAGTATCTAGATTGGGCGCTTGACGTAGGCTATCTCAACGGTCGCCTTCCTTGCCACATCACTCACAGATAACGCGGAAAACAGTAGAGCTGTGTGGGCGTGGCAGAAGGCGGTGACATAGGAGCCAGCCAATTGGTCAGACACGAAACACGTCCACACGAGTAGCGCCTCCGTCTATACGTGTGTTATATCCGTGGTCCTGTGCGTGTCCTGGAGCACGTGGCACGGAGGGCGTGTCCTGGCAAATGTTCTGTCAAAGTGCTGCCTCACTCAGTACTCCTGTAAGGTGGACTTCTGTTGTTACAGGCGTGGGCTGTTTCACCCGACGGACAGGTTGTGTAACTGGTTCCTCTGGCTCACGCGTTAAGTATTTTCCTGGTGATTTTTCTTCAGTATTTAGCACAACATATAGATCTCATTGCTACATAATTGCAGGCACTGAATATGAAATCGTCAGGAAAGTGTATTAATTTCTTTATATATCGTGTTGGTTCGTTTATATACATCCAAAGTTTCCTAGTGTTTCCGGAGGGCGAGAGAATCCGCGAGTGTGACGTCATGGGATCACTGGCGGATGTACCACCTGTGTGAATGATCATCGCCCATCAGGTGTCTCGTCACAAGAGCCAGTTTTCCCCAGCTCGGGTGGGAAATGAGTCACGTGACCGCGAGGCGAGAAATGCTTTTGTGATTCCTAGAATCAGTGGGAAAGAACCGAGAATTTTACTGTATGTGATGATACACAGAAGATGATATAGAGGTCAAGGCAGTTTGAGCATCCACCTGCCATGACTAGAAAATATTAGTCGCTCAAATAATGGGGCCGTAAGGCTACACACTGTAAGCTCGCACGTTAGACCTCCCACTCCTGGTGCTCTCAACAAGTGAGACTCGTTCGTTTTGTCTCGCCTGTCCGGGTGTTAAATTTGTTAAACCTTGTTTACTCCTTTTATGAACGTTTGCCAACGTTTGTACCCTTCGGTGGGCTGGGGGCGGGGCTGATGTGTGTCAGTGTTAAGTAATCTGGGGATGTAGAACACTGCAAGGTTATATGCCGCTGCATCACCTCAAGCCGGCGGCCACATCTAGGCGGTTTTCTCACCCACGTGTGAGCCACAGACGTTTGTGAGGGAGGAGGTGTGGCAACGGGAGGAGCGACGTCCCCTCCTTACCTCCCGCCTCCCTACCCCTTTTCCTCACCACCAGCCAAATCAAGAAGAAACCCAAGTTTACTTTTTCTTCACCCCTCCCCCTTACACTCAAAACCCCGCCCCTTCCACCACTTCTAGCGTCTCCCTCCCTCTCCCCTCCTACCCCTCTTTACCCCCTCTCCCTACTTCCCTCCCCCTTCGTGTGGCCTGATCATGTCACGGCCCACTTGCCGCCCACTTTGGAAATCCCGACTGAAGGTAAGCCCGGTGCCTGCTGCGATTCACCCCCCCTACCCCGTCCTCTCCTCATATTCTTCTTCCATTCCCACACCATCCTTTCTCACTCCTCAGATTCCTTCATTCTCCACCTCTTGCCCCCAATCGCCCCTTCCTCCCCGCCCTTCTTTACCCAGGATAAACAGTGGAATATCCGGGCGCAAAAATACTTTTTTCAGTCTTCTGCATTATTCTCATCCTTCGCTTTCTTTCCCCAACCTCCACTTACCCACACACCCCCTTACTCCCACACCCCAATACGGCCATGCTCCTCCTGTTCACTTGGTCTTCATATATCAAAATAAAGTTCATGACAAGACGTGGTTCAGGTGTCACCGTCGTACTCTTGGAACATCTCCACACGACCTATGGTAACTTCTCCGCGTCACAGCCGTGTCCTAGCGGTGACCTCCGCGTCACAGCCGTGTCCTAGTGGTGACCCCGGCGTGTTCCAACGTGGGCGTGGATCTTGCGAGTGTCATATTGGGCGTGTGACAGACAGACGGCCAGTACCGGAAGTATTCCACAGAGGCGGGGGAATTTCCGAGTCGCCGATTGCATCACCAGTCCGCCACCACAACACTGTACCACCAGCGGGCCTCCCTCTTTCTCTCCTCTCTCTGCAAGTGTTACTTCCTCCCCTCCCACACGTTACCTCCACAGTGCCTCCAGACTACCTTCACCAGTAGTCTTCCTTTCACACTTTCACACATTTCTTCTACAGAAGTTGCTACAACATCTTCACTGGTTTCACCCTCCCCCCTTGAGAATCAGTGTGTTGGTTCACATCTAGACAAAGTTCACCTCGTTAAGTAGTTGTACGGTAATTTTTGCCACCCGTCTCTGAGAATCCGGGTACTGTGTGTGTGTGTGTGTGTGTGTGTGTGTGTGTGTGTGTGTGTGTGTGTGTGTGTGTGTGTGTGACAATAGATTAAGACGTCACAAAACGTAGAGTGTGAGGCGACATGACATCACTGTCCACGGAACCCCTTCAGAATGTTAGGTATTCGCGATAAGATAGTGTGAGATCTCGAAGAACAAAGTGCCGCGAGATGTTTCATGTTACGGAGACCATATTAGTGACACACACACACACACACACACACACACACACACACACACACACACACACACACACACACACACACACACACACACACACACACACACACACACACATTATTTTCTGGCTCTCAGGAGAAGACGAAACGTTATACAGTTTGTTAATAAGTCTCCGGAATTTTCACTCCTGGAGTAGAGCGATGTACCTGGTGTTAGCGCACTACACCCAAGTTAAATTATATCGTAAAGAAAATAGTCATATTCATACACAGTGAATCTGAGATAAATGATAAGTTTGATAAAGTAGAGTATCATGAAGTTGTATATAATTAAGTCTTTCGATTCATTGACACAGCGACGCTAGACACAAAACCTCCAACCAGGGAGGATTGATATACAGTGGCTGTCACCTTTGATCCATATCTTCTCCTCGGCGCTCACTCACAACTGTGCAGTATGGGCGTGATGACCTAGCCTTGACCTCTGCGGATGGGTTTGTTGGCGGCCTCATACGCCCATGGAGGTTCGTGACTAATTGGTCGCCATATGGCATGAGAGTGCCCGGGGACCTCACGTCAAGCGGCTGCCACACACATGCCTCCATGGCTGTTCCTCCCCCCGCCACTCGGTGATTTGATGGTAGTTCATTAGAGTGGCCGTGTGGTAATGAGGTTGGTCGCCAGAGGTATGCTAATATGGCGATAGAGGAGGAGGGAGGTTGGGGTAGGTCTCTGGTATGTTACGATGACCAGATTTCGACCAAGTACTGAGGCTTTTCTACAGCATCCATCGTATGAGATCGGAGCACTTGGGAGCCCTGACCGTCATATTGCATATGAATCAGTGTTGCTAATATACCAAGATCCTTTATGGACTATTGATAATTTCCTGCCTGATGCTTTACCACCTGCCATGCTGGCAGGTGGTTGTTTAAGAGACTTTTCCAGGTGGTTGAAAATATTTCACCCAGCAGTAACAGTAGCGAGCGCGACATGTAAGACTGCGACCTGTTGCCCTGGTGCAGGGCCGCGGGCGGGTGTGGCTCGCCTGGCATGCGACCCATCTGCCGCAGCCGCCGACGCCCGCGGGCTTGCCAGTCCTTTTGAGCACAGGTTTTTTCTCTGCCCTATCATGTCCAATGCCTCCCCCGACCCCTGGCACATTATGGTGACACTTGACCTCATTGTCTTAAGCCCACCACCTTATTGACAGTGGTTTACCCTGTCTCTCTCTCTCTCTCTCCAAAAATAGACTTTGGATTCATGGTGATTAGGTTATTTGATTCACGGTGAGGATCACATATTGGCCGCCAATATCTTGTCTCAAGGAAAATAAGATCTGAAAACTTGGTGGTGTAGGGTGTCTCGTCCTCTCCCACCATCACTCACAGTGTAATGTAAACGCGTATATTTTCTGACGTCACACCTTCAGAAAATGTTCGTATATACGGTAAAAAGCCGCCTTCACTGTTAGTTGCTAATGCTTGGAGCTTTTTAACTTAAAGGTCAAATTAATGTCCTTTTACCTTTAAATGTTCTCCTTCGTGGTATTTACAGATGAAAGACATAAATGCTGTTATAACTTTTTATCCAGCTCAAATATATCTCCAGACATTATTGTAATTTATATATATATATATATATATATATATATATATATATATATATATATATATATATATATATATATATATATATATAGTGATAGGAGCATCGCCACAACAAAACTAACTCGCCTGTTCTTCCTCACACAGAGCAAGGTGCTACAAAACAAGAGCTGGGATGAATTGGCTAACATGTACCAGGGCATCGGGGACCAGGAACTTGCGTTCCTGAAAACAAAGAGTGAGGCCGTGCCTGGCGACTTCAACTCTCAGCTGCAGAACTCCTACGAAAAGATGCAGCGCTTGGCCGTGGGCATCGAGCAGGTGACCCTGGACCAGGCGCTCTACCAAGGCTCCTTCTTGGAGCATTTCCGCGAAATAGAAACTCATATTGTGAAAATCTTATGCTTGTTGCACTTCGCGATGGTTCACCGCAATTTGACGCCCAGTGTCACAATCAATAAGGAGGATATGCCCCAAGAATACCGCGACGTTGAGGGCCAGTCAGCGGCCAGAGAGTTTCGAGACTTCATGATCCTTGATAACTACTTTAAATCTCTTCAAAATCTGATACAAGTCTTCACGGAGTTTGAGAACAAGCGAGGTCCTCAGTAGAAAGGCCTCCAGGAAACCTATAGGAGCCAGATAGACATCAAGAACCACTGGGACACATCATCGCAGAGGCAGAATTTCCGGCTGTAATAAAATGTGATTTTCATCAGTTTAAGAATTTCACCAATTCTTTACCTGGAAACTATTCAGTGATAGAAGAAATATTTGGCAATTAAGTTACGAGCCAAAATATACTGTAAGCCTCTTGAGATAACACCAGTGTTTCCGCAGCTGTCAGCTCACACGGGGTATTAAAAGCATTCTAAGAGAAGTTAGATTGGTAATGCATATTTTGTGAGATTAGCAGCCAAACTCAGCTAAAATATGAGCTAAATCCACATAAACGTCAGGTATTGCTTGTGATTGTTTGTTACTTAGCATTGTTTAGACATTAACTATTATAGAAAATATTACCCTTTTTAAGGATCTTACAGTCATTAGTGTACTTACATTGTCGGTCATAATTAGAGAAAACTGTGATATATTTATTCTGTATTTATTATTAATTTTATTTTGTGCTATTTGAGCAGCTGTTCCTATGTAAATAGTCTTGCTCAAGTAATTTGTTCATTGTTTCCTTATTTTATTGTTGTGTTTTACTGTGAGCTTGTACTGATTTAGCCTCTGGTACTCAGGTGTGACTGAAGCTGAGCTCCTCTTGATGAGGGCGCTCATAGGACAGGTATCTCAAAGACATATTTGTTAATTTAGGTAAGGCGAGTATTCTTGTGTGACACCAGTTGGGAGGAGGGAATTTACTGTTACCGTTTTCTTAGTCTTGTTTCAGTTGCAAGGGCATTTTTCCTTCTCTCTCAGTATTCTCATTATAGATTCTCAAAGGCTGTTTTGAAGACTAAAGGATTGACATCGATAAGCCAAGTGGAAGAAAGATCTGAACCCCAATATTTACAATAACATGAGCATCGTTCAATTATATATATATATATATATATATATATATATATATATATATATATATATATATATATATATATATATATATATATATATATATATATATATATATATATATATATATATATATATATATTATGATATACAATTTTTCCAACGCATTAAGACTATAAGATGTGTATATCCAAAATGCCGTATGTGTATCCATTTGTTAAGCATGTTTTATATCTCTTAGTGTACAAGTTTGGTGTATGGTATCTTGCAATACTGTACACAACATAGTTTTCAACAATCAAAAGAAATATCTGTTTTCTGTGTTCCAAACTCTGAAAGGTCAATGTTTGTGACTCCTCAATAGTGTGTACAGTATACGTCTCCACAACTGATAATACGTATATCAGTGGGTAAAGGATCTTCAGACTTATAGGGATACGTCTCCATCTTGTCCTTGGTAGCATTTCAAGCCATCACATGATACAGTCCTCGCTGTATCTGTCCAACTGTAGCAGAACTATCACAAATAAAAAAGTATATCATGCTGATTCTAAATTCTCATTTGTAACGATGCTTTTGTTTAATAATTTACAGTGGACTCCATCGTGACTCTTAAATTACATACAGTACCTGCTTCACCTGTCGCAACACACACACACACACACACCATAGTGAAATTTGCATTGTTTACATTGCCCCACACTCCCATGATTGCCCCCACACTCCCATGATTCCTCCCCCACAGCCAGCAGTCATCCACACCACCTGGAGTCCTCTTGTGTTCATTATTATTAAGTGATGATGTGACATAACTTGGAATAAGACAACTCATCAGTGTAGAGCCACAGCTTAGGTTTTGTGTTGTAGATTTTTTATACCTATTTATTGTTTTGTATATTTTAAATAAATTAAATGTCTTTTATCTCCTTAGTTTTTCAATATACAATACCTGTTGTGTGTCCTGTTTATGCAAGTGTCTGATGTGAATGGCAGTGCAATCCTTAGAAACTAAAAAAATATCGAAACGGTTAAAGATTTAGAATACATATATATATATATATATATATATATATATATATATATATATATATATATATATATATATATATATATATATATATATATATATAACATGTGCAGTACTATATATAATATATAAAGAAAAACGAAGTTTAAATCAAAATAATGACGTAATCTGACACTATATTAATGTTATTGGGTTGGTAAGCTGACAATCAAGTTTTTGTGAATCGTAACAACTACTGTATGTATGAGAGATAAAAGCAAGAGACAAAGCGTGATATCAGTCCCGTGTGTGTAAGCCTGGTTGACTGTGGGTAAAACTTGCTAAACCAAATAATCAAATAAAAAAACATGAGAGCGCAAGTGTAAAATAAAATAGATATGGCCCATGACACAGCAAGAGTAACACCCATGACACGTCCCAGAGAGCGAGAGAGAGGGCGAGACAGGAACTTTGCGGCATGGGTAATGTACGAGAAAAGTACTGTACCTTCCCGGTAACTAACAAACAGTACACTACCGAGTAGACCAGAACATCCTGACGCTGAACGACTCGACTCTTTGAAGGGCTCGACCTGAACGACATCGCCATCACGTTAAGGCCTCAGAGGACTGTGAGAGAACACCATTGGTCTGCAGCCAGATGGGTGTGAATGTAAACAGCTTCAACGCGGGGATGAGTCGTGAAAATGACTCGTAATTACCACGTGCGTAAAGCTTACTTTCCCGGTCTGATATACAGCTTCCTGACCAAGCCAAAACCCTAATCATGGCGATACATCATCCGCTCTCGCCCGGAGTTAAGGACACCAATGCTCTTTCTACTCACGCCTTTGTCTGAACAGTTCCCGGTTTTGTTTTGACAGTTTCCCATCACCATTGAGATTATAAAAACAAACAAACACAAAACAGGTGATTTAATTTGTCCAAAACCATCGATTAACTAACGATTTACAGTCTGGCCAGTTATAACTACCATCCGTGAATTTGAACTTGTAACAGATTCCAACGCGTTTCATCTATAATTATACAAAAAAAATAAAAATCAGGATATGTTGCAATACAAAACCGCAGAGCCGCAAATTCGAGTTATATTTAGAGGTCAAAACTGTATTTAGAGCTCAGACTGTAACCTGTTGTCAACGCTAACTGCCGTGGGATGACGATGGCCCAAAACAATCTTCTCTATTTAAAAGTTGATATACAGGGTGACGCATAAGTTGAATTATACACCACCATGTTACATTCTTCCTCTACCTTATAATATCTAACAATTGATACATTTTTTCACTTATATTTCTCTATTAATTTTTCTAACTTTTATTCTTCTACAGCTGATAAATTTAACATTTCTTCCTCTTGTTACTTATCTAATATATAGTTATTTTCTTACAAACCTTCGTTCAGTTTTAAACTTTCCTCTAAGTCATGGAACCAAGCGAATAGAGTCCACGGGTAGAAAGAAGTTAAGAGCCCACGGGTGTCGTCGTCATCACAGTGTCACTGATCGTAATAATGTACAGAACAGAAATGACTAAATTCTAGTTTCCTGTTGTTTATTCTTGTCTTAATATTTGATGGGTTATATCAACACAGTCATTTGTGTGGAGTAGTCGAGTGTTGTCAGTTACATCAAGTGTACGTTATTGGAATTAGTTATGTAGTGTATCGTCAATTATTAGTATTAGTAGTAGTAAAGGTATTATTATTATTATTGTTGTTGTTGTTATTATGAACAGAGGAGCTCATGCATTATTATGAAGGTCGGATATACATAAAAAGCACGACCAACTTTATGATTGTGTGTGTTTATGTGTGTGTGTATGTGTGTGTGTGTGTGTGTGTGCGATAAACATTTCAGTGTTAGTGTTGTGTGGCCGTCAACCTGTACACCAAACACACACCACATGGTCCCGTACCCCCAGACTCAGTCAAGGACACCATCTGTGACGTGAGTGGGTGAGCCTCTAAACAGCGGGAGTGTTGCAGGTAGATGGGGGAGGGGGGGGGGCGTCACTGTAAAAATAGTACAGCTATTGCTCATTTCGGTAATTCAGAAAAAGTCTAATCACAAGTACGAGCACAAAGATCTGAAAATTATAACAGTGCATAAAGTTCTACTCCGTCTCAACAGGCGTGATTATCCTCACACATTCGACAAACAGAAAGTAAAAGTACGTGATAATTTCCCGAGCGTCGAAATCACTCATGTCCGAATGCAATTAAGGCAGACTCCAAAACATATTTGGGCGTGGCTCTCGCTGATTGGCCCTCCCACACCATGACGTTTGCTTGCTCCCACCCTGATACATCGAACAACCCGTCCTGACCTATCCCAAATCTAAACTTAACCTGACCTGTGTAAACAAATCACCTAAGCTTTACTTAGTTTAACAATTAGTAATGAACTACCAGACTTAACGGTGAGCGACTACAGATTAGTTTAAACGCCGGTTTTGTCTGTTAGTTGCTTGTTTGTTGGTGTTTCTGTCTCGCACGCTTCAACCACAGTACCTTTCAATTTACTGCTTTTAATAGAGATAATAAAACACTATATATTATGGTGTCGTAACCCTCTAGTGTTCATCTTAGCCGTCAGTAACTCAGTGTCTACTCCAGCACTCACTAAATAGTCATTATTGCTACAAAACTTGGTACGTTGTTACATCGTCACCTAAGGATGTGTCGTATATGAACCTTGTGACCGTGTATGCTCAGGGGTGCGTGGCTTCCGAAGTGCGTGTACAACATCCTGTGGGGCTTGTTGACTGTGTTATTGTACTGTCTAGTTGTTGGTGTTGATATTATTACCAGAAGTAATCTACAGGAAGAGGAAAATAGTTGTGTGAGTCACGAGGGCCAGCTTGAGATTACACGTGACATGACAATAAATGCGACAGATCAAGAATGACTCTCAGATTGACCTAAAGCCTCCACTCTACCACCTCCTTCTTCACTCTTACACCTTCTCCCACTGGGCCACACTTACCGCACTTCAAGGCCTCAGTCACCAGTCTTGAGCTCATGAGTCAGTAAGTGTAATAATACATTTTAACATCAACTACTTAGTGAGGTATAGTATTCGTTCACAACAAAGGAACGTACAGTAAGTTATGATGGGGTTGTATTTACCAGCGATTCTGGCATCCGCTATTTACAGTCTGACCTATATTTACGATCTTAATTGAGTTGTAAGGTATTAAGTATCACTGGGACACGATGTTGATATGGTTCGATCTGTGATGATTATAATACGATCTTGGGTATACTTCATGAAGCAAGGTGGAGTTTCTCTGTTTTGTTTATCTATTTGTATCCACTGTTGTGAAATTTATATTGAACAAACGAATCCTCTGCATATGTAGGGGCTCATGCTTGGATATTTTTATTTTTATTTTTATTGCCTCATGGTATGTGTACCAGTAAATAGATGATGGGATTACGTGTCAAATAACTAAAATGGATTTCTAACACACCTGAGCTACCTGGACAGTGCTCATCAACGTACGTTTGAGATACAAGATCTTTGTTTAGAACAGCGAAAGTAAGATCAACTATTAAACTTCCCGGACTACAAAGTTCTGTGCTAAAATAATTGGTGCTGAAACGTTGTAGAATCAATATTGGATCGTTGTTCGAAGTGTTCTTAGATGATGGAAATTCCTCAATGAAAACGAGCAAGGCTTCTAGCCACCCGGTACAGGCATCAGGGTGTACAGACCAAGAGTCATCACTGGCAGATGGACGATCACTCTTGATGCCGTTATCACCTTTGGTACATGTTGCTGATACTGATAACATCGCTATAACAATCTTACCTACGATCGTACTGCAAGAAAGGTAGTTAACGCAGAATCCTATGCACGACCTTTGTCAAGATGATAGATATATACGCCCTTTAGTGGGTGTTTTATGTCGTTAGATGCTTCAGTGACCAGTGTTTAAAATAGAATACAACTTGTATAATATTAGTAAAGTTATTCTTCCTTTTACACATCCTCTTAATAATCAGACTTCCTTCCTTTCCATGATGTGGCAATTTGGTTTAGTATAGTTTACAATAGGTCTATATTTTCAAGGTGTGAATCATTTCCATTACTCTAGAACACATTAAAAAGTCTGATTCTCTGACGCATAAGAACTAACTTGTGGAGGTTACCGACCGTCTCCCTCACCTTTTGTGTGGACGTCGTTACCAACCAGTAAACATAACTCATCAACGTTAACAAATACTGAAGCAAAGCAAAACTATGACTGAACAATTTACCCATTTTCACTCACAATTATTTTGAGAGAAGTTAACCAGCTGGAAAATAAATGATAAATGAAATACTTCATACTCTGAACAGGTACCACGGATCTTGAGGTGTCTGACTATCTTTTGAGAACGCGTCACTACTCTGTAAAAGAGGCGTCGATTCTTCCCGTCAGTCTCCACAATACTGACAAAAGAAGTCCAGGGTAGAAAAAAATCACATTAAACCCTATTTTGCAGGTGCTGTTAGCGACGCCCGTGTGTCTGCAAGCGTGACCGAACCTTGTCAAGCTATTGGTGAAGTGCAGAGCAACTGTACATGACAATGCTTGTTTCTTGCTGACAACGTGAAGCGCTTCACTGGAAACCTGAAGCACTTTACTGGAAACCTGGTACTAAGTCTAGGAAAAGAACAACACGTTTTCTTGAGGCGTGTTCCCAAAGCCACTAAATTTACCCCATCTTACTCGGAAGTCTCTATATGTGTCGCCCAATTTATCATTGAAAAAAAAATAAATTCGCAATGTCATCTTCCTTGGCATAATTTATTCAAGAGCTCTCGCGCAAATACTGATAAGTTTATTTTTATCTTTTCGTTTAACAAAAGTACAATTTAAGCGAAGATCTACTCCAGATGCACACCACACC